TGGCATTTTTTAACTGACAAGTAAGTTGAACAGGAAATCATCCACGCGTTATGCAAACCACAAACAAACGAGCACCAACGAGCAGTCAGGACTGCAAACACAGAACCCCAAGGCAGCCGGCCTCCTGCAGCTCCAGAGCTGTGCCTCGGAACAGCCCCAGCCACGACACCCCGCCTGCTCCACAAGGTAAGGAAGGCTCTGCACCCCGCATCTTGGCAAATCCTGCTTTGCTGAAGCAACTACTTTTGGTTTAGTTTATGACTGAAGAAATAGATCTATACAAAACTCCGTTTAAAACATCAAAAAATAGAATTAAAAATTAAGTATTTAAATGACAAATGCTACTATTAAAATGGAATATTATAGGGCACAACTTCTTTTAGCCACATTTTACTTCTTTAAAATATCCAGTTTTGGACAATAAAACTCCTAATCGTTAAAATGTTTTATTAACATGCTCACACTAGAATAATTCCAAATTTGCTACGACAGGTGCTTCTAAAAGCTGCTCTGTTTAATCTTCTAATATCAAATCATAAACTGACCATTCGTAATATCCTGGTCCTAATTTTGCCTCTTACCTCCACCACTCCCAGACACTATAAGTGATGGGAGATAGGAAAGATCAGTGGGGCTTTTTTTGAGGCTTAAATTAAAAAACACCAAAATATTTTGGTTAGGTCTGAAAGTGATCCTACATGCAGACAGCTCCAAGCACTGCCCAGGTTTCAGTGTGAATAACAGGGTTTGCACAGGTACTTCATAGGCTCTAAACTTGTAATGATAAAAGCTTGTGGGTTTAGAATAAATTATTGTCTAAAAATCAGAAATAAGAATAAAACGAAAAATGTAACTTGTTGTGAGAATGAGGCTATTAAATTTCAGTTTTCAAAAGTAGCATAGGGATTCCTAGGCAATAAGAAGAAAAGAAACAATTACTGGTGGATTTTGCAAGACAGAAATAAAATTCTACCCTTGAGATGTCCTCATCTGCAACCACATGAGCCTGCACTAACCTTCCAAGAGTCTGCTATCTGAACCTGAAACAATATAATCTACAGCTGCTCTCCAGACCTGTGCGCCCTCCACACTCACTCTGTCCTCCAGAACACCACAAATTAACCACACGTGCCACGAAAACTTCACATATATCTAACAGATGTAGTAGCCTTGGTCGGGGAAAACCTGTGATAAACCTGACCGCCGGCAGCACTACCTGGTGCCATTTTACGGGGCACGTGTCCTTCTGCCAAGGGAACAGGATGGAAGCCTCCTGCGGCAAAAAAAAACACAGAGCTTGGCCGAGGCAATGCGGCTGGTGGGCACAGGGCTGCTGGGGCTCCCAGCCCCCCCACCTCCCCATGCTCACCCAACTCACAACCAGAAACAACCACCACCCAGTACATCATTTTAAATGGCTGAAATAGCAGGTGGGGTGTTTTTCATAATTGTAACCTCTTAAGTATTAAAATCCAGGCATTGCCTTGTGAAAAAAGTTATAAGAACAGAAAAGTAATGAAAGCTTATAACAAATTTGCAAGAAATCAAATGTGCCAAAATATCTCTGTAGTCAGACTGGACAGGGCTCTGAGCAACGGGATCTAGTGGGAGATGTTCCTGCTTACTGACAGGGAGTTGGACTAGATGATCTTTAAAGGTCCCTTTCAACCCAAACCATCTGATAATTCTATGATTGTACAGTCACTGCAAAAACTGCCCTCCAAAGGTGACCAGCAAGCAATTTCAACCACAGACCCTGAACGCCTCCACCTTGAGACTACCCCACCAGCTGCCAGGTCAGACACGTTTGTGGAGATGCAGAAAGGCAGCAGAGCAGCCATGAGCAGGCACAGGCAGAGAAATGCCTAGGCAACCAGAGGAGAGGGTTTTCCCTTGGACAGCCCCACCAGCTCTGGCCCCCTAGACGCCCATCTGAGCATCTTCAGAGCACAGCCAGGGGAATAGGGAGACAGGATCCCACCACCCACCCATCACAGCTACCCAGACCCTGCTTCCAGCTCCCTCCGGCAGCCCGGCTGCGAGCGGAGCAGCGAGGTGTGCCTGCCGAAAGCCTCGGCAGCCTGCCCCGGCAGGCTCCAGCCCACGGCCACCGCGTGCTTGGCTCCGAGAGGGAGCTCACACCTCACACTGCAGCCAGACCGGAGCTGCTTTCTGACTGGCTCACACCAGCACAGCCAGGACTGCAAGTTCAGACCACTACCAATACTCCTACCACATCAGAAAGAAGATCTTAAGAAAAGATTCTTCTTTTGGCACGACTCGGCACAATTCACAACTGCTGCGTCCCATGTATTGCACTTTCTCTCTCCCCCATTTCTCATAACATCAGAGATAGCACTTGGCCTGACCTTCTTCCCTGATGCACTCCATTCTGCAGTTCAAAAAGACTTCTGGGGACAGGGATCGCTGTCAAGAACTCCTGACCCAGTAATTGCATTGCATATTTATTTATCAAGCAGCTGCATTAATTTCCATAAATAGCAAAACTGCGCACTCAGTGCTACAGGACCTTTGCTGTGTGCAGGGTAAAAAAGAAATCAAACTGTAAACATTATTCTTCTGTTCAGTAAAGTAGCCATGAACATTGAAATTTGACAGCCCAATTACACAGGTCAAGTGCCTTAATGATACTTGGTTACAAATTATAGCATCAGAGTTCAAATACAGAAGGAACTGAGCATTTTTTATGTTATATGCAACATTCATTTTGTACATTTTGCCAAGACAACACGATTTGCCAACTCAGAAAGTTCAAAAGTTTCATATACTTTACCAAACCCATGTTGTCAACTTGGCAAATCAAGTTTGCTGGTTTTGCATAGCTAGTTGCTATTATTTACATAGAATACATAATATTTCATGCTGCAGCAAGCATTTGGACATGAACTACTGCTCCAGTATAAAAGGCCACATACAAATCACAAAATGCTGGGTGCTGTTACGTACCCTCCAATACATACCAGCGAACAGCAGCAGTTATGCAGCAGCAGAAAAAGCAATGTTTTAATAATTTGGGGAAAAAAAACACCCCACACCAGAATCCTTAAACTCAGTCACCACCTTAAGCAGTAAACTGACCCACCTATTAACATCAGATGAGGAATATTCACTGTTTCCAGATGAATCCCAACATGGAAAGAAGCATGAATATCTATGGTAGTTTCAAGCCACCTATCAGCTGGTGGAGCCATTGCGAGTTCTCACGAGAGAAGAGAATGTTCTCATGATGAAGGTTTAAGGGCAGCTTGAACAAGAATGCAACCAGTACATGCATGGAAGGGCAGCTCCTCCTCCTGCCAGCTACACACAACCCATCAGGCAGACTTGCACCGTGGGAACCCCTCAGCATGTTATGACACACACTAACTGTATTTTCCTGTCTCTCTCACAGCTCTCCCAGCAAGAGCAGAAATCCTATGCCTGGGAATGGAAAGCACTCTAGACCCTTAAAAGCACCACAGCAGTCAAATCAAGAAAGGTAAGGACAAGCCGCTGACATGGAAAGACTGACAGAGTTGATCTCGGACTATGGCAGTGGGAAGACAACAGTCTTCAAATACAGCGTGTTACCATTTTAAATAAAAATGCCAGTTAGTATTGGTGCTTCCCAGTTGTCTGGGTGGACGGTTAAAGGATACATCAGGAGACGTGGAGATTGTCCTAGTTCTAGCAATACCACCCCAAACCTCACCCATTATTACCTCCTAATCCTAACACACCTATTCACATGGTAGCTATATTCTAACACTCACTCTCCACACCATCTTCATCCTTTAAAAAAACAGTCAAACAAATTCAAATGCCTTGGTGACGAGAGCTTAAACACACAGATAGGATGGCAGGTCCTCCCTCCTATGGAGAACTACCAGGAGGAAATAAACTGCAGGATTTGGGTGTGAACACCTGCTCCATTGCTCCACTTACCCATGCAAGTTCCAAAACAGCACCTAAACTGTCCGGCTCTTACAACATCTACAAAAGATAGAGAAAACAATACACCAAAGGAAACAATTCCAGCTATTTAAAAGAAAATTTCTAATTCTTGCAAGGTTGCAGTCAGGTTTCAGTCTGTTACACGGAGGCATCAGCTGATGACTAAATTGTGGCAATAAGGAAATTCTTTTTTCTCTAAAAGACGGGGTGGCGCTTTTTTCCCAGCTCCATGGCAGAGGAACATTTTCCAGTTGCCTAGGTTTCCATTTGCCAAATACAGTACCATTGTATCCATACCTTCTCTGCCTTCCCCACAGAGGATAATCCACCTCTGTAAACATTCTGTCAAAGACAAGCAGACAGCAGATGTGAAAGGATCTCCAAGAAGAAAACACAATTAAATCATAACAACTTGAGAGGACAGCTCTAGCTTCTACATTATGCCAACACACTTTTGTCGTGCTACCAAAACGAAAATTTAAAGTAGATTGTGGTAGTTGCACCTAAGGCTTTCTTTCAAAAGAACAATAGAAAATATTGGCACACACTAGGTATTTCCATGCCTGACTAACAGAAGAGTGTTTTCTGTGCCTATACACAAACCAGAACACCTGCACACCATGTTCATAGCTGTCACATGCTTCCTGGTAAACCAGTGCTAAAAATGCACCTTCATGAAAGACTTCATGAGAAGTATTTACAGTCACAAAATCACTGTGGCTCTGGCCCCCTCCTGGTTTGCAGCATGTAGGCTCCTACCCACAGAAAAAAGGCAGCACAGGGCTCAACAACAATGGCTTGAAGTCAAATGGAGAAGCAAATGAACTCTGTTCAAAACAGCATCTAAATAAAACACCTTGAACATCACCAAAACGTGAGATGGCACTCCTTGGAAAATACTAACTATGCATCCCTGCCAGAAATGATAACGTGATTTCTGAGAAGTATGGCATGATTACTAGGAGTAGAAATATTACACTACTTAATGGAAATTTTATCTTACTGAGATAATATTTCTCTGCTTCTAGGAACAAAGATACTGTAAGATGTTCAACTCCAGCACAGATTCCTCAGGAAACAACTGCAGTCACAGCACAGTAATAACCAAGACAGTCATTCCCCTGGTCTACTGTTTAATTTTCCTCATTGGTCTCTTGCTGAACAGCGTGGCAGCCTGGATCTTCCTGTATGTTCCCAGCAAAAAGAGCTTTATTGTCTATCTCAAAAACGTCGTTGCTGCCGATCTCCTCATGAGCTTGACATTTCCTTTCAAAATTCTTGCCGATTCAGAAATCGCACCCCCACAGCTCAACACGTTTGTGTGCAGATACTCCGCTGTTGTTTTTTACACAAACATGTATATCGGGATAACATTTTTTGGCCTCATAGGTTTTGACAGATACTATAAAATTGTTAAGCCTTTATTCACCTCCTTTGTTCACACAGTTAACTACAGTAAGGTGGTCTCTATAATCATATGGTTATTGTTAATGCTTATATCACTTCCAAATATGATTTTAACCAATGAAATCACTGAAGAAAATTATTCCAGAAAATGTATAGGTCTTAAAAGTGAGCTTGGCAGACAGTGGCACAAGGCATCAAGTTATACTTGCACAGTGATTTTCTGGGTTGTTTTTCTTCTGCTAATCATTTTTTACACTTCTATTTCAAAGAAAATATATAGCTCTTATAAAAAATTCAGAAGGACCTCAGATGTGACCAAGAGAAAAACCAGCCGTAATATATTCAGTATCATGTTTGTATTTGTCATTTGCTTTGTACCCTACCACCTCTGCAGAATTCCATACACACTAAGTCAAACTAGCTCACAATTTAACTGCCAGGCAAAAAAAACTCTGTTCTACGCAAAGGAGTTTACTCTTGTACTGTCTGCTGCAAATGTTTGCCTTGATCCCATTATTTATTTTTTCCTCTGCCTACCCTTTAAAGAAAAGCTGTATCAAAAACTGCATCTCAAGCTGAAAGCTTCAAGTGATATTGAAACTTCGAAATCCAGAAGATCAATTACACTTCGAGAAAGTATAAACATAGTGTAGGTTCAGGTCTGTAAAATAGTGCAGGGTTCAGAAAGTTATTCAGAAACACAAATGTCTCAAGCTGAACAGATGAGAACCAGCAATAAAACAAAAAAAAAAGCTTCAGTTGTAAAAGACCAAGTGGTGTTTCTCTGTTAGAAAACATTATTGCATGTGGCAAATTTACTATAAGCTATTTCATCTGATGCTACAATTGCACTATGGAGTGATACAACCTGTCTGAATCTCAAAAAAAGAGAGGAATAATTGGAACAAAACATTCTGGAGCTCCAGGCCATGGGTCTCAGAATAGATTATTCAACCCCCACAAAAATTAAACCGATTTACTGTTGTTTCTTCACAAATCCAGGCACGACACACATGACGAAAAACAATCCAGCCTGAAGGGCCCGGGAACAACTAAACACTCCTTTCCAACTGGAGCAGACCCCTCGGAAGCTACACAAGGCTCTCCGACCTGTGCTCCTAAAGGAGGACTGAGACCCCGAGGGGAAGCACTCCTCAAAGGTCTGCACAGAGCCTGAAAAAACCCTTGGCAAAATTTACACTCATATATATCTTTATATATATAAATATATGTGTGCTTTCTTAAGAGAAACATTCTATAAAATTAAGAATTAAACATGATTATTTGTCACCCTTCAGCACCAAATGTCAGAGTACCTCTATAAAATGTGATGCTCAATATATGCAAGTCTTTAAAAGAGCATCCTCCTGTAAATTAAATACCACATTTACGCTGCACCATATTCCTCAGGGCTTTTCTGAAATATCACTGTGTACACCACAACTCTTGAGATCATGCTGACAGATTTTAGTAACTCCCTTGCTGTTGTTGCAGGAGAAGGTAAGAACACCCAAGGAGCTGTTAAAAAACACACATACTGCTCTAGAAACTCTGGAGTATATTTAGATCCAGAAAGAATGGTTTGTTACTTTTCCCATGCTTGTGGTACAATGATAAAGCATTTCTCTCTGTACAAAGGCAACAGCTGAAAGCCAACAACTTTCTATATATAAATATAATCTCTTTTAAAACTATTTTTCAGTGCAACCTTTTTTTAATTGATTTTGTCATTGTCCAGGGAAAACACACCAGTGCACAAAGTACTCACAAAAGCATTCAGACAGTGGCTATGGAAGCTGAGCACTTTCATTTCCTTAATAAGATACAGAACAGAAAACAAATAACATGTGCTTCACCTTTCTGTCACTGTGCTTCCTTTTAGGGCTGACAGATAATCTCTCAGGGTGAACAATTTTTAAACCTACAGTTTTTGAACCTTCTCCAAGGCTGTGGGCAATTCCTCTGCGTCCGAGACCACCGACCGATGGTAAAAGCACCACCACACAGGACTGTACTTCAGCTAAACGACTGGGCAACTCTGTAGAGTTTAAACACACTTTTGTGGAGCATGTTTACCCCCATGTATTTCCCACTTGCCTGACGAGTGGTCCCACCCCAGACCTAAACAGCACCCAGGGGAGCCAGGATGTTCATCTGGCTGCAGGGGCCAGGGGACCCTCAGCCTGAACCAGCTCTTAGGGATTACAGGAGAAGGCTGCATTTTGGTTGTGATTTTGAAAGATAATACATAAAAAATTATTTATACAGTTCTTTCAGAGCTCCCTGACTCATGTTCAACTAAGACTTCACAGGCTCTCCCCTCTAAGCAAGGGGAATAGCCTGCAGAGGAAGGGAATCTGTTACCTTGTCAGAATTTTTTTGTTATTTATGGAAAAACATTTAGTTCCTTACATGGCGTGGTTTGGTATTGGTCTACATAAATCTAATTATCTGTGTCTGTGAAAGCACAGTGGCATAGAGGTAAAAACACCTCCACAGTATATATTTGTATAACTTTGATCACTTTGCAAGCTTTGGAAAAAAAAAACATGTTTATTTTTAAATTTTTTCCTCAGCCTATCAGATTACTGATATTAGAACAACAAAAATGCATGTAAAGCACCCAGGGGAAAGGACGTTGATCAACACATTTTTCAAAATGTGATACTAAATCTCTAGCTTTGTTTGCTTTGAAGTGGGATGGAAAGGTATAGGGCCCATTTTTTTTTTGCACTGGTTAACTCTTCCACATCCTTCCCAGTGCATCAGGCCTCAAATTAACCCAGCCAGCTCCTTGCCACTCCCAGGAGTCTTATGGTCGTACTAAATACCAGCTCTTGCCTTTTCAACAAACCATCTGGGGAACTTCCTTGAAATTCCTGCAGTGAAAGTTACGGGTAGCCCAGAGGCAAACAAGGTTACCTTTTGGCAACCCAGGTCCCCAGCTACAGCTCACCCTCCTGACTTACTCACTGCTCCTTCCATGGCACTGCAGGAACAGGAAGATGGGTTTGGAGTCTATTTATTCTTTGGAAGCTTAAGTTATTTGCCTGGACCTGGAATCTCTAGGGAAGGCAGTTGCCCCTGAGAAGAACAAGCCTGCAGCACAGGGTGCCAAGAATCATCAGAAACACATGTTTTCCATGAAATTTTTTTCACAGAAAAGGAGTTGAGTTCACACAGACCAGCCTCTCTCTCTCAAGTCTGGTGGAGTTCCTGGTCATGCCTTTGCAAGGAGAAATGTTCTGCTGCTCAAAATCTTGGGATAGCATCCAGGTAGGGTGGCATAAATTTTCTTCAAAAACTCCATAAATCTCACATTTTAAACTATATTTATACTATAGTCTAAATGAAAATGCAAAATGTGGAGAGGTATCAGAAGGGATTCCAACACAAGGGCTACTCTTACAAATCTTTGCTGTGTCCAATTCAGAATAAGAGACTCTTTTAAAGGTCATCAGATTTAGGGTTTTTTTTTGCTTGTTTAAGGTTTAGATGTTATTTTTACCTAGCTTTGTTCTCGGAAATTATTTAATCATTTTGGCTGAATTCCCATCCGTACCAGCACCCCTTCCCTTCCTTGCACCACCGTCCAATCCCACAAGCCAGCCTAAGCAGACATGCATCACGGAAAACTTCAAATCAAAAGTCAAAAATTCGGCGAAGTTTCAACCACCAAAAATAGGGCTTTATGATGAGAAGTGCTCAGCAACTGCAATTACAGCAAAATCTACCATCTGCATCTGCAGCTTAGGAACTAAAACGGCATTATAAATTGGACATATAGGCAAGGGAAGAGGATGACACTGAGCTGCAGTAAAACCAGAATTACGACTCAGTAGACTCACATTCTCACACTTCTCCTGAATCACTTCTGCAGGAAGTGTAGACCATTTTTCAGTAAAGGTTTACATAACCGTCACCTTGTCTTTTTGGACCTGAAGAAGTTTTCTGAGCAGTAAACTGACTCAACCGAAAAGGAGAGACACAAACACATAGAAAAAAAAAAAAAAGAGTGAATGCTATGTTTCAAGTTAAAAAAAAAAAAAAATAGACAAAAGTATGGTAAGATCAGTTCAGGTTTGCATGATGAGTATAACACCATAAAACTAGCCTATGTTTGCTCAAAACCAAACACAGGATCATTCCAGATTATGAAGCTTTGCATGCATTTTGACAAATATGGCCTGAATTTTAAGCTCGTGACTAAACTTAAAACCAGACTTGGTTTTAACTTAACTTGTTTCTACACAAAGCCCTGGTATGTGGTTTGTAAAATCCTGTGGATTCTCAGCTATGATAACGCACTAACATTTTCAGATTTCAGTATTATTATCAGTTCTTCAGACCCATAGCCTGCTGTTAGACATTTTCTCCTGGTTTAAAAAACACAAAACACTTAATTATAAACATTTCCCCTGATCACCTTAATAAGTAATTTTTACTTGTCATAGCACTTAGCAAATATCCAGAAGTTTAGGATTTTAAGTGCCACCAGCAGAATCCCTATGGGCCTTTAAATCTGCAAATCAGGTTGCAACTACAGAACCCTTACATATGTGAACACCATACACATTTAAACTCAAACTTTCAGGCTTGAAGTCCAGAGGAGAGGCTGAGGATGGCCCTGCCTCCAGGTGCACTAGGAACCAGCCCTGTTCTCCATCCTCTCTGGTGAGGACAGCTCAAGCAACTCTGACCGTCTTCCATCCAGAAAAACATATTCCAAATTGCAATAATCCATGTGACCGGCTACATTAACATATCTAACTCTGCTCTTGTGCAGCCATTTTGCTCCCCATCTTTCTCCATTTCATCCTGCACAGCTTGAGGAGCAGCTCAGCACCGCACAGCCCCGCAGAAGGGCACTGTTTTTGGTGTGCTGCCCACCAACCCCAGCTCCTGTGCCAGTAAAGGGAAAAAGAGCCCTCTTTGGGCTGTTCTGTGAAAGCCAACTTTATCTGTCACCTCTCTTTCAGGTACCTTCCACATGGTTTAGTTATTTGAATGCTGGTTTTAACTGCGTCAATCAGCACATCTGAAAAACCACAGAGAGGGTTTGAAAGCCCAGCAGACGCAAGCAGAGGAAAAGATCAACACGCTACCGGGCTGGGCAGGCAGCACGCCCAGAGACACCAGCCCTACACAGCGCAAGGCTCAGGAGACCCCCGAGAGCACCGAGACAGGTACGTGTCTTCAGTCTCTGTCTGCACAAGCCTATCTAGAGCTATCTAAATACACCGCCTGAAATATTAACTGTGTCAGGCTCCGGTATTTAGCAGAACAGCCTCTGCTTTGCCTGCAGTCCTGCCGTGTCCTTGGAGGCCCCAGCTCCAGAGGCAGGGCTTGGTCCATGCCGTGGAGGGTGAGCGGGGCTGCACTGGGCTGTGGCCACGGGCTCAGAACCAAGCCAGCACGCCCGGCAGTTCCCAGGGCACCGCGTGCTCCTCACCTACACTGCACACACCCAAAATTCCTTCAGTTCAGTCAGGTGTCTTCAGGACGAGACTACCTGTAGAAAGCCAACTGCAAGAAAAACAGCTTTTTCCCCCCATTTTAAAAATCATTGGAGTCTCTGCAATAATTTCGTTTTACAAACTATGCACATCTGAATACAGATTTTACAGCAGAAAATAAATGTGCAAATGCAGTACTCTTATAATGTATTAGGAAAAATATAATAAAATTTAAAAGTGTTACAAGCTGATGCTATCCAAGACAAAGGTATTGGGTTTCTCTGCAAGAAACTAATGAACGTGCCTTCTTCCCATAGGTATTGTCTGGCAGCTTTGCAAACAAACCAACCCCCCGGTCACAGAGTAGTATAATATTTAGTTAAAATAAGATCAACATTTTCTTCTTTTCTTCTCTATAATTTCTAGTGAAGTCCAAGAAGGACATGAGGAAATTTATTTAATAGTTGCTTCTTTCAATATGTGCTTTTTCTAAAGGCTTCATAAAAACATGACTAATTTCCTCTGTTCAAATAGGAAGAAAGAAGAGTTTGAAAAACCTTAGGCCTGATTGGAACTATTTGCTCATATACCTGACACATTCTGTATTGGTTTGACAGCGCATTAACTTCAAAACTCCTAATACATTTTCACAGAACAAGGCTGCTACAAATACAACCCTTTTTTTAGGCGTAGTTTCACTTGTTCCAAAGTTATGAAGTTTATGTATAACCATGATTAACCAAGTAACAGATTCAAACCCTTTTCTTTGGTGTTTTGGTTGGTTTGGGGGTCAGACCAAACACTCACTCAGGAAGACTCATCTGCTGGAAAAGTTTCTTGGAAGTCCCTGTGCTTTCAAGAAAAAATCCTAATACATTTCCAAACCTTTCCAACACAGGAACATAGATCTCCTGAGTATCTGTGAAGCAGCATGAGGAGAGAAAAAAAAAAATTAACTCCAATCGCATTTCTTTCCTGGATATGAATCAAATAATAATTCTCAGAGAATAACTACCGTTGTTCAGGGAAACCCGACCATCCGCTGACATCTTTTTGGTTCTTTTTGTAGGTTCTTGATAGCTCCTAGCAGCAAAATCAACTCGTAAAAGAAGCTTACAATGTCAAGCAATGTTTCACAGTGCTATCTTGGTGAAGAAATGGAACCTTTTACCTATTTTTACTATTTGGTTTTTCTTATGGGATTTATTGGAAGCTGTTTCGCACTATGGGCATTCACTCAAAAGGGTCAGAAAAAGAAATGTATGAGCATCTACCTAATTAACCTCTTAACGGCAGATTTTTTGTTGACTTTGGCATTGCCAGTAAAGATTATTGTTGACTTAGGAGTTGCGTCCTGGAAATTCAGAATATTCCACTGTCAAGTTACAGCCTGTTTCATCTACATGAATATGTATTTATCCATTATATTTTTGGGATTTGTAAGCATGGATCGCTGCCTTCAGCTAATGCACAGCTATAAGGTCTACCGCATTCAGGAGCCTGGATTTGCCAAGATGCTGTCTGCAGTCGTGTGGACGATGGTTCTGCTCATAACAGTGCCTAACATGGCCATTCCAATAAAAACGATTGAAGAAAGACCTGGGGCAGGATGCATCGATTTCAAAACAAAATTTGGCAGAGACTGGCACGTGTTCACCAATTTCATATGCACAGCAATATTCCTGAATTTTTCAGCTGTGATACTGATCTCCAATTTCCTTGTTGTTAGACAACTCTACCGGAACAAGTACGGCGAGCGTTACGCCAGCGTGAAGAAAGCCCTCGTCAGCATCCTGCTGGTCACCGCAGGCTACCTGCTCTGCTTCGTTCCCTACCACATCGTTCGGATCCCCTACACCCTGAGCCAGAGTGACACCATAACCAGCTGCTCTCTGAAACAAGCTCTCTTCAAAGCGAAAGAATCTACCTTGCTGTTTGCTGTGTCAAACCTCTGTTTTGACCCTATTCTGTATTACCACCTTTCCAAATCATTCCGATTGAAATTTACCGAGACTTTTGCAGCACCCAAAGAGACAAAGATTTTCACAGACGCAGCCGTAGAATGCAGAAGTGAAGAGCAGATGTAAGAGAGCTGACTTTGAAATGCAACTGAAAAGTGCAAATCCACAGCATAAACAGCCATTGTGCAGCTACAGGCGTGGCTAATGTGGCCAACAGCAACCAAGTGGAAGGAAAAAGCTCAAGACGACACCAATTGCTTTGTTATACAGTCAGCTTGTCAGGCAGGCCTGAAGGAGCAGAGTGTTCCATTCCACAGCCCCTTTCAGAAGGAGTTCCCTGTACTGGTGATGACCCACCAAGGATCAGTGATGCTTAAGAACACATGATGTTGAGACAGGCTCAAACATACTGTGTATTTATTTATGGTAAACACCTGAACTCACCTTTTCTAATTCAAATATTGTATACTTACTATATTCAATGACTCATGATTATTTAATAGCAGTTCTTCAGCTGCAAAGTTTTCACACATACAATTAACCCAAAAGCATTTTAGAGGGCTTTAAAATCACTTTCTGGAGTATATAAACTGCACTGATTAAAAATTGTTCTACCTGCTTACACCACACCTGCAGTATTTGTAAATAAATTTCTTGCTCTTGCCAAGTTCCATTGTCTTTCTTTGCTGCTGCTTCAATGAATAGGAAAACAACACGTTATTACAGAAAATTCAAGGAAATTTTAAAATTAAGATAAAAAGTATAAATATCCAGTGTGTTCACTTTGCTTTCAGTTAAAACATTATAAAACAGCAACTAAGTTTATTAATATTCTAATTTACAACTCCTTCAAAAATTAATGTATATGTAAAATAATCAATAATCAAAATTTAAAAATCAATTTGCATAAGCAAAATCCAGCTACCGGGATTAGCTCCATCTGTACATCAAAAATATTTCAGAAGCACAACCAAATCAAGTTATCTTTTTTCTGATCCTCAGAATGGGCAAAGTATGAATCAAGCTTCAAGCAAGCATTCAAAACTGCCCTAAACAGAAAGAGCTCATGCAGTGTTGTCATAACAATTCACCTGCTATAAATCAGAACCCAAACTCCACAGAGCAAGAAACTTAATGGAAAGAAAACTGTGGTTATCACATCCTACTCTCACATGACACTTCCTGTATTGACAGCATTTAATACTGTTAAAATGTTATTTTTGTTAAAAATAATAAGAGTTCTTGAGTAAATACATTCCAGTTCAAGGCTTGTTCGGTATTTGAGCCCTTTTTCAGCACAGTAGAATGATGTCACCTGAATGAGGGCTGGGATCTGGAATGTTGTCCATGGGGCTTCCTCCAGTTCCTACAGACAAACCCAACAGCAGCAGCAGCCAAAAATCCACTCTGGAAAAAGCGAGGAGCGGGCGGGAGGATATAACACTCTTCTGTCCCTGAAATGCTGGGGTTTGAACCCTGAGCCCCTGAATTAAGGTTGACATATGGGTGATTCCCACAGCCCTTCATAAAGAGGTGGCGAGTTTGCCTTATAGCTTCCCCCCAGGGTGCGGCCGGCCCTGCAGGGAGAGCC